TTTTGTGATTATGAATTTTGAGATTATAGATCTAATCCAAGGGTTGAGAATTGGTCTTACGGGTCTCATGAAAAATGTTTGGTCTCATATGATCCCAAGTATATATATATATATATTTATATATATATCTCATAAAAAACCACTATATATGACATGACTTCTTCTAAAGGATAGGAATTCCTTTATCTTTTTTTTTTTTTTTTAGTTTTTAAAATACTAATTAACTTAAAAACTTTTATGCCCCTATAGACAAATTGTATTATTCATAATAAATGAGATTTTTTTGGTTTTTTTTATATCCAATTTAAGTTTTACCTCCCAACTATTCAACTTTTAGATAGACATTCCATTTATTGTTTGTTGCAATTGATTTACTGCTCGTACTCCTCATCTCTCCATCTTTCATCCTTTTATTTCTCAATGTCCTTCTCTCCATTTAGTTTTGGCATTATTGCTATCAAGAAACAATCAATTATGTTCTTGAAAACATTCATACAAACCCAAGTTCAACCAAGACTACTTCGTAGCGGAAGATTAGTACGGTGAAATTTTACCGAGAATGGTAATGTTATATATACACATATGTTATATAGTGCTATGATCAAATTGAGTTCTTACTTGAAAACAAGTTTTAGGTTGCGATGAAATACTTTTATCATTATCTGTCACAACTTCAACAAGTATTGTCTATTATATAATTTGTATTTTTTTTTCAGATTTCAAGAATTGGGTTATTTGTTTGATAAATTATAAATTGAAGTTCTTTCTTATGGTGAATCATGAACTAAGTTTGTTCCATTTTTGAATTGTGAAAAGTTTTTCTTACTGATTTTGTGTTTTGAGTTGCATCATGAATTGATATTTGTTATTTTTTAATCAGTGATGAGTTGGATGTTTTTTTATTTGTTTGTTATGATTATTAACGGAAGATTTTGCATATTGAAGTTTTGATGATCGAAGCATTGACAGCAATTGGTGATATATTGTCTCAAGTTCTCCAATGTCAAGAAATTGTAAATATGTTAGACTCCCAAAATGATATGATATGATTGTTTTCTATGTTAGGGTTTAACCGAATCTTTTCAAAAGGGTTCTTTCAATTTTCTCTTGGCATTTAATTAGTTTAAAGCCCAATAAAACATGATGTATTATCTTTGTTGTTAAGTTTGTGTATTATTAACTTGTGTCTTATGTTTTGGTGCATCTCTTTATTTTGATCTTATATAATTCTCTTCTTTGTTTTGATCCTTCTAAATGTGGGTGCAATCAATCTATATATATTAAAGGAAAACCCAATAGTGTTTACATGACATCTCCTAATGTTAGAATCCTTATTTCTCTTTTTTTTAAATTTTTTTATTTTTAAATATGTCTAATATAAGAAAAAGACGATGTTGTCCCTATATAATAAATGTGTGATTCATTATGCACAAGCTTTTTTTTAGTAAATTTACATGCATCTTGAACCCCCTAACTCTCCATATTTCTTGGTAAACTTTCTAATTTCCCTTCTCTTAAATATATCTTACACTTTAGCATAACTGACGGATGTCGAGTCCGGCAAATTATAGAATTTATAAAAATAAGCCTATTATCTCTAAAACACACTTGTGATAGCGATAAGTAGGGTCGCCTTTTCAGGGACTCGATGTTAACTGTAAGTCCAAGACGTAAACGTGTGCAAATTCATTTACAATAAAACACTATATATAAAGGGGGGGGGGGGGGTTTGGAAAATTGATAAAATATCCTAAATATGCAAAACAAAAATTGAGAACGTTAAACAATAACGAATAAATTCTAGTGATGAGTATAACTAGTTCTTTATCAAATCATGTATCATTGGCTTGTATAAAAACATTTTCTTAAAAGATTTTAGACCGGTCGTGAGTGTCGACACGTGCCAAACACTCCGCTTGTCTTTATAATTAAACTAACACGAGAAGCTCGATAGATTAATTCCTAATTAATTAAGTTGATTCTAGTCACGGACGTAAAATTCAACCTACCAATCGCCTTAAGCAATAAACAAGCACCAATCCCAACTAATGAACGGAAACCCGAACATTTAAGCTGGATTACACAGTCCTATAATGCAAATCAATGGACTCGGTTGTCTATTGATGCACTATTTGCTACCAAGCGGATATTAAGAACAATTACGGATTCCTAATCACAACTAGCAATTCAAATTTAGGCTAAAGGATTCAAGGGATCCTTCTCAAAACCAAAATCCCAAACATGAACAACGGTTCTGAACAAGAATTGTGCAAATAAAATTCAATAAAGTTTCAATGTTAAACAAGTCTCAACAAAATTTAATGCAAATTAGCTATAATCCCATCACTAGAAACAGAAAATCAGCAACTCATAACTCTATTTTGAAACAGAAATTGAACCTACAGATGGTAGAAAACAGTAGACTAGGAAGAACCTTAATTTGAGAAATCCAAAATTGACTCTAAAATCTGGAAATCGATTTCAGATTCTTCAAGTTCGGTCCTTTCTTGGCTTCCAGTTTTCTGTTACTGCTGCTCGATTTCTCCCTCTCCCTCTCGATTTCTGC